CACTGTTTAGGGGAGAGGGACAGAATTTCTTCCTTTCTTCCCCCCCAAAGTGGTTCCTCCAATTCAGATTGCACAATGAGAAACTGTTTATAGATGATTCCACCCTAGATTTCCTGGCTGAATCAATCTGTGTGCTGATTTGCATCTGTGTTTGCCAATTTCACAAATTGCACAAACCCCACCACTATTCAATACACATTGTATATCAGTAATGGCATAACTTCTTACATCAAAATATGGCTTGCATCACACCTCAGTGGTAATTCTATGGCCATTTGTTTTCAACTGAAGTGCTTTATTTAAAATTCACATCATCTTTCCTACACTTGTAGCTTAATACTTCTACAGAGCAAAGTAAACATTTGGTCTAATTTGCAGCTAACCTAAGAAGGATTCTAATTAGAGTAGCCGTACTCTGAATGGTACAAGATCTCTGAAGCTGATTACATGCTTATATGTGACATGTTTACCACAACTATAGAAAGCACAAGCAAAAAAAATGCATTCCTCTGCTCACGAGAAACCTCTGTGATGCTGTAAAATGCAGCAGAGTTCCAACCATTTGCTACTTCAATTACAGTTGCACAATCAGTAAATAAGAGTTCACTTTTGGTATTTTACACAGCTTTATAACATGCCCAAATAGCTTCCTCTTAAGCAATTATAGCTTATGTAGAATTTGAGCTCTTTGGGAGTTGTCTGTTGAAATGTTTTTAATGACAATTTGAGTTTTCATAACATTGACGCACTGATGTCTTTTACTTCTGACTGTTGACATTGACAGGCTAAAAAGCTTGATTTTTTGGGAAGGGAGAAAATTGCATTAGTTGAGCTTATTTGGAGAATCTCTGTTTGCTGAATTAATTTGCTAAGCTTTGTTTTTCTGCTGAATATTAAACTCTATTTTCCAACTGTGCATACACTGCCTGAGGGGAATAACTCCCACTCTCTTTTTCCATGACTACATTTTCTTATAGCACAGCCCAGGCCTGAGTGAGGGGGGCTGCTCAGAGCTGATACCGTAGGTTGTGCTAGGGGAAGCATAATATGGTTGAAAAGCTGCTGCCTTGTACTCCCCAGACTCTGGTGTTGCACCTCGGCAGCTGAATGAGAAGTGTCACAGTTTTTTCCTAAGCATTGTTTTGCTTAATTCAATTGATGTGGTGAAACCTGTCTCTCCAAGTGATGACTTGCTGAGTAGCTAGAGCTTCACAAAGTGAGTATCTAGATTAGCAGCAGTATGCAAACAATTGTGAGTGCCTTGGTAGTTGTGCCTTCACTCCTACCTTCTTATTCACAACAGAGATATAAAAATATCTCTGAAGTATGTTACCAGTTTCAAGGTGACATTATTAGCTCTGTTTCACTCTCCCACTAAACATCTGAAGAAATTAATTGTTGTTTTCTTTCTCCCCTGAAACACACTCAAGCATTAGCAAGCTGTGTGGTATACTCTGCCTTTATCTCAAATTAGCTCTGAAATTTAAAGCAGCACAGATAAAAGCTCCATTGGGAAGAGGACGAGTTTCATCGGTGTCCCTGCCCTCATCCGTTGTTGGGAGTTACTCATGTGGGAAGCAGCCAAATGGCCCTGCCAGCTGATGCATCAGTGCTTTGTTGTGATTTGTTTTTGTTGCTGCTGTTGGGATTGTCAAAGGTTGTCAAAGACTGGGAGCGTTATCTTCCACACTTGTGTAACACCCACTGCCCAAGGCAATCCAAGTCCCTCTCTGAAACCTTTGAATTAAGTTTCACTGCCCCTGTGTGATTCGGTATTATCTCCATTATAGAGGAGGAGAGACTTGGACAGAGACAGATGAAACTGTTTGCTGAAGGTCACACAGCAATTCTCTGGTGGTGCTGCTCCGCTGCTCTCCAGCACTGCTTCAGAAGCAAGGTTGTTCTTTCTCCCTCGAGGGTGCTGAAGGGAGGTTTATTAGCCCTCTTTTTTTTTTTTTTTTTTTTCAGCCTTCTCTTTCTGTGTTTATCAGAGTGAAATTTTCTGGTCTACTGAAGCGAATTGGCTTCAGACGTTGTCAAGTTAACCTTCCTTGTCTGTGTGTCCATGGGGCTGTGTGGTGGAAGTCAGCAGATAAAGCCACAGGCATGCTGGTGGCATCAAAGAGCTTTGTCAGGGGTGCTCATGGGACCCGTAGGGATTGGCAAGGTGAGAAATGGTCTATTTTAGACTTGTATTTCAGTCGAGTATAAGATAAAATTTGTATATAATTATTGCCCTCATGCGAGCTGAAAACAAACTGATCCTTTCCTCCATGTACCATCCAGCTCCATCAGTGCTTATGAGTGCTCTCATCTGGGGTGAAGAGGATGCTTTGCATCACACAGAGCTGTTTATACAACCTTACATGTTTAATGTTGGCACTGATGAGTGATGCTCAGAGACTCTTCAGCCACAGGTTAGTTGCTGACAGGAATGCCCAAGTGTAGGGTACCTGCTACAAATAATCAGGCAGGAACCTGGTGAATACTTGATGCCTTCACCTTCCACAGGCCAGTAAAAATAATGATAATGGAAAAGAAAGTCTAATGAATACCAGCAAATCCCATACATGTGTTAAATCCCCAACACATTCTGTGTAACAGTATGTCGGTAAACTCTCATAAACTACTTGCTGTAGGGTTCTTTCTCCATTGATAACATAGCCCTGAAGCCAAAAGCCCTTTACCCCACTTTCAATGTACTGAAATGAGAAATAAAATCATTCTGGACAAATGTAGGGAGTAGAGCTGTCAGCAACTAGTCAGGAGGAAAGGTACATCTAGCTTGTTAGGCATACATTACACTGTGTAGCTAACAGTGACAGCAGATACCTAAATTGCTTTGGCTTTCTCAGGGACATATTGACCGAGAATCTACAGAGAGGGAAGAAAAACAGTTCCCTTTACTGATGCAAAATAAGACCAGATTGAAATAGCACTGACTGCCATAAAAACCCAACATTTTGTGTTCTTACTATGACTCCTGTTGGGCAGAAGTTCATTCATCAAAACTTGCTTATTTGGGAGTGAGAAAATATGAGGAATGCTTAGTTTTATTAGTTCCTGACTCCTAGCTTGATGAAATGAACTATCCAAGGATTCTTATTCCCTGCCTGCTAGATAGGGAAACCTAAAGGATATTTAATAAAATATGCAGAAAGTGAAGGGTGAATCATTTGCAGAGAAGTGTCTAACTCTTTAAAGTTAAGATGAAAAGCTTTGATGAAAGTGACCTTTGTACTTGATGTTCCCTTTTTACTTTTCTCAACACTTGAAGCTCTAATAATCACCTTTTTCAGCTTTGTCACTGTATTACTTATGTCATGAAACATTTCCATACCTAGCCAGAAATTTGGGTGGTAATATCTGCAAACATTGGGTGGAAGCAGAACACAAAAGCTAGTAGAAAGGGTCAGATCTTCTCTTTTTCATGGACTGATCAGCAAGTAACCTTGCATAAAGTTCAGGTAAAGAGGAAGATGTGGTATTAATTTTCATAGTGTTTGGGTTGGAGGAAAAGTAGAATTATTCTTATCACAAGTTAACTGTAGGTACCCAGCTCTCATGTAATTTATTGAATATCTCAGGATATTTTCGTCTTTGTGACTTCATTCCTACTGAGAATTTGTTCAGGGCATGTGTTAACTTAAAAATGACACGTAAACAAGGTGCGAACAGATCAGTTAAGTGATAGCCTGAGGTTAAAAACACAGTGATCAAATTCAGTGTCTGAAGTTGGCAGCGATATTGCCTTACCACCTTGGGAAGGCTTGAAATTAAACTTGTTTTGAAATGTAGGTGTTAAGTTTGTGGAAAAACTCACTTGCAAATCTCTAAACAAAGCTGACTTTCCAGATCTGAAGAGAGCTCATTAAGCTCTCAGGCTGCCTTTTACAAGAGAGAGGGGCTGTGCTGGCACCACACAATCTTTCTTGCTGAGGCTGTGTTTTGTAGGATATGTGAGGAAAAAATCATCTAAAATCAGAGCTGTACTCCCTTTCTGTCTGCCATTGGCCTCTGCTCCCTGTCACTAGCAGTGGGCAGGGCTGTACTATCAACTGCACAAGCTAACAGAGCCAACAGCTCTGCATTTATTTTTGTTGGGCTTTTGAGACCTTACTAACTGGAAGGAAGTTTTTGGAGATACCAGATTTCTTACATTCAGCTGTGCTTATGTTCATCTATTTTTTTCTCCCTGGCGTTGCCTTCAAGCAAATGCAGGGGGAGTAGCCTCAAGAGGAGCAAAAATCCGTTCTCATTTTAGAGTAAATGCAAGGAGGATTAAGCTCCTTCCCCCTGTAATCAGATCATCTTATTACTATGGCTTTTGAAGATGATTGTATGTTTTTCTGTATCTGATGGATTATGTGTGTGCATGTGAAGTAAAAGTTAACTTGACTGTGAAAATGTAACTATATTTTCTGTATGATAGTTTTACCTTTGGTTGTTTACTTTGTATGATGACCACAGATCATGCATCCAAGCCTACAGCATGAAGCAGTGGCAATCATTCTGAAGCTGTCCTGTCTTATGCGCTTCTCAAGCAACAGGCTATTGGTAACTGTCTGTGACCCTTTGGAAAATGGAAGGACTCCAAAGGTCACAGCACCAAGGATTCAAATGAATGTGGGATAAGAGGGGGGAAGTGGACTGGATGGGAAGCTCCTTGAGCTTGTTGCAGTATAGAGGCTAACCCAATTCACATGTGGACCAAACAACACCTTTCTGTCACCCCAAGCAGCAAAAAAAACGCACAAGTGCAATTGGATTGTCAGTTTCCAACTGACATTTTCCAAGCTTGTCTATGTTGTCTTGTGGTTTCTGGTCTCAGGGTTTAAATGTAGGAGGCAATAGCTGTGTCTCTAGATCTGTGTGTGTGCAGTAATACACATGGGATATTTGAAGTCCATCTTACCAGCAGGGCTCCAAAGCACTCATAGTATATAAGTGTTACAGTCACCATTTTGCATAAAACACTAAGTCTTCCTTCCTTTTGACAGATTGAAGACATCATTACGAGAATGCAGGATGACAAAACAGGTGGAGTTCCCATTCGCACTGTCAAGAGCTTTCTGTCCAAAATCCCCAGCGTCGTCACCGGTAAGGACCCGGGGCAACAGCAAAGAGAGCTCGAGCTGGTACTAGCTGGCTCTAACAAAACTACTAAAGCCACGAAAACAAAAAAAGGGAATGTAAGAAAAAAATTAGCCTCTCTCTGCTTATTTTCCTGCTTGCCACTGTTACAGGGTGCAGTATTGAACCAAGATTTCTTAATTCTGTTTAAGCAAACAAGCATTTATATTTTAGGGGTGTGTTATTGAAAATACTTACATGCCTTTTGTGGCTATCGCATTATCACCAGTCAGAGGAATTTGCTGTTATGGGGGTAGGATAATATCAGAGAAGAGAAAGAAAGAATATCATACCCAGGTATTCTTACTGAGCTTTAAGTACAGGTAGAGGAATTTTATGCATGTGTGCTGCTTTATTAAAGTTGTATGTACAAAAGTGAAGATGGTACAGAAACTGTGAGTCTTAAACTGTTCCAACATGTGTTTCCAGGCAGAGTATCATCCAGTGCAATAAAGAACTCTGCCATTGATAAATGAGGAGTTTATTTGGGGTGATGTAAATTGCTTGGAGGATTTGTACTTTAGTTTCTGGCACATGTTTTCACTAATTTAATACTAGTATTCACTACTGGTTTCCCTCTTCTTACCCATAGGCTGTTGTCCAGTATGAGATATCTTGTGGTATCTAATTTATGATGATGTACATCTCTGTAAATATGACATTTTTTTGTCCTGCAGAGTCTCTTTCCAAATCAGACAAGATCCACACATTGAGCCTGTTTTGGGAAGTTTCCCCTCCTATTTGAAAAGTGAAAGACTTTGTGACTGTGACTTTGTGGCAGTAAAATTCAGATAATCACTAAAAATGCAGAAGTTGTGTTGCTGCATATGTATAGCACATCAGTAACTGAGAGAAGACTGACAGTTCAAATTCTTGCTTTTGGGGTCTTTATACTGTTGTAAAATAATTGAGCAATATCTGTCAATGGGGATTCTGGCAGTGCAGCTGGTATCAAGGCATTGTTCCCTGAAGTAGAGCATATCTGAGCTGATGCACTTCAAAAATATCTTTACAGTGAAAATGGTTGTATTGGGCAGAGTTTGAGTGATTTGGGAGTGTGAATTGATATCCTTGCATCAGAAAAAATGTCCAACTTAAGCTACAAGAAGGGAATACAAATCTACAGCATTCTTGGGGATAAACAGGGAATATGGAAATTGAAATGAAGTTTCTACTTAACTGAGGTTTAGTACAATTAATCCCATTTTACTGAGCAACAGGCTCTTCTGTCAAAAATTGATGTGACTGGTGACTCAGTGTAACTGGCAGTTGCAGGATTAGGATTTTACAGTGTAAAAGACACATGAATCTAGACTGAGGTGTGAAAATTGTGTTACTAAATTGCAGGTTATGGCTGGATCAGGTATGAACTAACTGTTCTTGAAGGTTCCTGGGGAAAATAACCATTTATCTGATTTTGAAACTCATTCTATAAGCTCAAATCTGCAATACTGCTGGATGTCTTTAGATTAACTCATTTAAACAAGGTTTCTGATATTCCTGTAAATATTCATAGCATTTATTAAGCATTTGATCTAGTCATCAAGTCACCACCCATTACTCAAAAGAAAAAGGAAACAGGTGACTTCACAGCATCTTTAAACAGATTACATTTATCCTTGGGTACCCCTCTGGTTGACAGCCCCCTGGTGTGATGGAAACTGCCTTGCACTCTGCTGTTCTGGAACAGCAGCTGCTGTTGCATCATCTTTAAATGGCTAGTTTATACAGCACAGGAAACAGTAAAAAGATGAAGATAATATAAAATAAAATAAGAACAAAGCCTCCCTTCAAAGCTCATAGAAAATTCTCAGATTTGGAAGGGAACAAGCTCGGTATCATTCCCTTCAGGTGATTTGGAGGCAGCTCCCTTGTGATGCACCAGGCAGCAAATAAAGCCTCTGAGTTTGAGACGTATGGGAAAATAATGGCTCAGCTGAGAGTCCAGAGGTTTTTTCCATTTCTCATTTCTCCTTTCAGACGCATAGATTTACCTATTTGTATACCAAAACCAAAAGAAATTTATATAATATTTCAGTATTTGCCATAAATGGATAAAGAGCTGGAGCACTTGAAGAGGCAGAAACACGTATGTTTAGGCAGAAGCTGAGGACACTGGGTTTGTTCAGTATGGAGGTGGGAAATCTGGAAGGAATGAAAGGATATGGAGAAAGCACAGTCAAAGCCTTTTTCGGGAGTGCATGGTGGAAGACAATGTACACAAGCTGCAGGAAAAGAAATCCCAACTAGTTTAGGAAGAAAGTTGTTTACAATCAGAGCAGCTGAGCATGGGCCCTGTGGCCTGGAGGGGCTGTGGAACCAGCATCTGGAGGTGTTCAGAAAGCCCTGAACCCAGCTGAACCGAGCAATCTGACCTAACAGTTTTTGTTTTGGATGGAGGTTAGACTAGATGACCTGCAGAGAATCCTTCCAACTTGAATTATTCTTAGGATCATTGTATATTCAATTTGGTGCTCATCTAATTCCACTCAGTATCATGAACACAAGAGAAGAGATTGTATTTTTCAGAAACTTTGGATGCCCTCTTGCAAAGAGATTGATTTCTAGACTCTGGCATTCTCAGACAGTTTTCTACCTGAAAAATGGAACAGCAACACTGAGATGTGACTTAGTTGGCAGGCTCACAATGACTGTGATTAACGGGGGGTTATTTTTGCTTGACACTTCTATTGTAATTGCTTCTTACACAGGAGAAATATAAAACCTTAAGAAAAAGAAACATTACCGCAACACCTTGGTGCTCTAAACAGGTGGCCCTGTTTATAGTACATCAAAGTGGGTGTTTGATTTAAAGTTTGAATACCAGGGAAAGAACCACTCATCTGGTTTGCTTTCATCTCTCCTGATGCCTAAGGTGTGAATGAGGCATTGAGTAACACAAGGAAAGGAGCCTCCAGGAGTTGTCATGAATGGTCCTCTCCTGACAAGAGGAATTGGGGAAAAAGATGAAAAAAACTTTTTGATTGTATGATGAGTCCATGTAGGGATGCTGTGCCAAAGGCACATTTTAATCTGCATTAGAAGTAGATTTGTTTATCTTCTTCCCTGGTTTTGGCTCAAAGTCAGTGAGTCAAAGGAGGACACAGCTCCCTATTATCTTCTTGGTTAAGTCTCCAGTTTTATGGACAACCCACAGAGAATAAAAGTAAGATGAAACCAGCCTGCGTAACATCTGTGTGCTTGTATCTGACATTTTCCAATGGTAAGTTTAGAGTATGGAATGAAAAACTGACTGAGGGCAGGTATTGAGTAGTGTTGTGATCTATGTCCAGATTAGGCTGTCAGCCAATGCATGTGATGGCAGTTGCTGCAATAAATGGGGTTCCACTTCTAGTGAGAAAACAATTTCCTCAGTAATTACATTGTTTCTGTAAATGAATCATCCATTTTCTGTTTTTCTCAGTCATCAGACTGTTTAAGATCATCTCATTGCACTAACAAGCAACATAACTGGCTTTCTAGTCATCTCTTCGATTTGCATACAATTGCAACTTAAAATTAACCTCTTGGTTGGTTGGAGGACCAAATGTGTATTCTTTCTGCTCCCTCTGATTCAGACTTGACCTTATACAACATTGCCAAAACAAATCAGCAAGAAGTCAGTGCTGCAACAGCTGAGCTTTCCAGTGCAAAAAGCCTCCTTTATGCTTTCTAGTCTGCCCCCAAACTCATTCCAAGTTTATCCTTGTACTCTGTTGAGTTGATACCCCTCTTTCCAGCAGCAGTCCCCTAGCTGGGATCTGGGTCATGCTCCTAAAGCTTACTCCAGCACTCACTTGTCTTCTTGCTCTCCTCCCCAGGCTGCCTGTGTGGCTGTGCTGGATAGATGAGTGATGTCCCCGCTGTACTGCCTTGTGTGAAGTGGTGCCATGCAAGCTTTGTGCACACAGCCCTGCCAATGCATTTCACTCCTGACCTGCCATGTCTGTTTTATTTAAGTCCTGGACCACTCTGAGCTGAAAGTACCAGTATTACTGAAATATGCCAGATGGCCTGTCGTTACTTGAGACTCATGATCTAAACCAAGTTTAAACTGCCATGTGTCTCTGTCTGAAGAAGCCAGCATGTGTCTTGGCAAGTGCCTATGGCATTGTCCCAGAACACTTCAGAATGTCACTCAAAGAGGATGCTGGAGTTTGGAAATCCCATAGAGTTGGGAAAGGGAGACTTTGTTATTGATAGTGTTCCCTGGCAGCGTAGTTCAGGACAAAATTTCCGCTAGAGGACTTCATACAACCATTGCAAAATGAGCTCCTGTGGTGCTGCTCTGAGGGTATTCATTGCCTTTTCTCTTCAAAGGAGTTCAAACACATCTCATCTAGATGTGGCAGCCAGAAGCACAAGAGAGAAGAGCGAGTTCCTCGCATCCAGGGTTTGAAAGGTCCCTGTTCAGAGGAACTGTACAAAGAAAGAGGTCATGGTATGGGGAGCAGGACCAGCACTGGCAATGCTGAGAGCAAGCACCTATCACCTAGCAGGGCCCAGAGAGCAAGCTGTGAGGCTGAGTGCTTTGCCACAATGTTTGCTTTTATTAATGCTTTTGCAGGGGTAGAACTTGCCTTGCTGCCTTACAGGAACTACTTTCACTGAGTCCAAGAAACTCCATAAGCTGGCTGCAAATGGATTTGGGCTCCTCTGGACCATCTGTGAAGCTTACATCTCCTGACTGTAGCATTTTAACCAGAGGAATGTGCCTGATACAGATTTCCCTCAGCATTTGGGTATTTCATTCTCAGTTTAAACCACCCATCCTGAATCTGGGACAGCACTAGTCTCTGAACCTGAACAGCTAAGACTTTTGTCAAAAAGAGTGTCTGGGTCTGAACTTCTAGGCCAGGTCTATCTGTCTTCTTTGTCATTTCTCTGGTTTTGTTTTGAGAAACAGGAGACTTGAAAGGTGGTACTGGGTCTGCTTCAGACAAAGTTAGTAGATGTACATAGTCTCA